TGAGTGTGCATGGGGTGGTCTCTCTGCAAGGCACTGTGGCTGATGTGGAGTGGTGTATGGGGACTAGGGCTGGGCTTGCACGCCAGTGCAAAAGCCAACTGCTCACTTTCCAAGAATTCTGTGGGCTATTTTTTAAAGACAGTCATCATTAAAAATTAAATTTTATTGCCTGATGATTAAATGCTTTTACATCAAAAAATGAAGGCAGTAAATCCCCCAGACTCATCCCTCTCAGTGGTTTGGTTGCTGTCTGCGCCACTGGAGTCATTGAGCTCTGCTGCAGCCCATGCTAGGCATGCAGATGAAATAGCACATATTGGTTTGCTATGCGCATCGCTTTTCAATGTCCTCTTCCACATGGTCATACATACGGGAGCATGAAATCAGCCACAGTGGGAGCATTTTCACAGCAGCAGCTACAGACCACTGCTGCTCTGTGAGTCCTGGAGACCACGCAGGCTGTGTACTTTGCAGACCGCCCTGCCAGGGAGGCCTTGGGCATGTCTTAGATCAGCACTGGGCCCAGGGATATGTGTCTGGGTAGTTCACAGGGTCCTTCAATGGTAGGAGAGGCAAGGATCTCTCATGGCGTCTTTCATACAGTGGATATAAAGTTATGCTGCCCAGGTTGGGGGCTGGGACAGGGGCTGTGGGAAGCTGGAGGAGGGTAGGAGAATCCTCCCACAGGGCCTTGGAAGGAGCTTAGCGCTGTGGACTCCTTGACTCTAGACTGCTGGACTCCGAAGCTGTTAGGTAGCAAGTTTCTGTTGCCTTAAGCTGTGGTACTCTATCATGGCTGCCTTTAGCAAGAAAATAGACCTCCACAGGACCAAACCCTTACAAACTAAGGTATTAGGTAAGCAAAAAAATACAGGAAGTTACACAAAGACTTGTTTACATGTGACTGTGGCAGATTCAGTTGCTATAGGCCCAAACTGGAAATGAGCCAAGTGCCCAGCAATTAATAAGTGGGTATACTAATTATTGTGTCTTCTACTATGGAATACTATCCAGCAATGAAGAGGACTGGCCTGAAGGTTCATGAGTAACACAAATGAATCTCAAAGACATTATATGGGAGACAGCAGCCAAGGACAAAAATCTGCATGTAGAATAATTCCATCTGTGCAAAATTCTATAAAAGGGAAATTGAAGCTCTAGGAATGAAAGCTCAGAGAGCTTTTGGGGTAATGGGAACACCTATATCCGGATTGTGGCAGCAACAGAAGCCGCACATTTATAGAAACACTTCCAATGGGTGCATCTTATTCCGTGTAAATCAGTGCTCAGCACAGTTGTCCTAAAGAGGAAGAGCTGCCTGCTCTGGTGACAAGGGGCTGAAGTGTCATCATCCAAGTGAGTCATGGGCTCTTGGGAGAAATGTCTATTCCACTCCGTTCTGCTGAAAGGGGCACACTGTGTGGGCCCACTGGAAACCTTGAAGAGATTTTTCAGAAAGGTGTTCTTCATGGCTGGTCTCCAGGGAGGATGGATTTCCTCAGGGGGCCCTGGGAAGAGGAGATTAAGTGAAGGCTAACCTCAGGCACTTTTAGCTTACCAGGCCTCTGTGGGGAGGAGGCCTGAATGCACACCCTGGGGGACAGGTGACTGGGATGCTGGTACTACTGGCAGGGCTTATTATGTGCCATGTCTACAATGAACATCTTCTGGAGGGAGTGACCTTGGACCATTGAGGGTGGGGCATTTTGCCTAGACTTCAAGAGCCCCCTTTTACCATATGTCAGGCCTCAGTTTCCACACCAATCAAAGAAGCGCCTGGTGTTGGCTTTGAACTGCCATTGCAAAGAATTAGTTAGGTAAAGTGTGTCAAACACTTAGTGCCTGTAGTAGAGATGAAAGCCTGGTAAAAGGAGCTTATTGGTAACCTGAGTGGTTGAAAAGTCCACAGAGGGTCCTTGTGGAAGCAGAACCTGGGAAGATGGACTCGTCATCCACCTTCATCCTTCCAGGAAAGACAGGGCAGACGGGAGTCCTGGCAGATACCATCTGTTTCTAAACACCATTTCTGGCAGGGTGTGTCACAAAGCAGAACCAAACCTGCTTTTTCCCCCAACCTTAGAAGGATGGAGTTCTAATTGGGTGGGTCTCGGGGGTCCCCGGTGCCTGAGTGAAGAAGCTGAACTGCATTCTGGATGACGAGCCACCAAGCATCCTAAGGCAGAGAAGGATCTTACCTCATACTAACTCAATGTATGAGCTGAATGTAACATGTTAGCCTATTAAAAGAAGCCAATTGCAAGATATACTATCTGTGCCCTTCTGCCCCCAGCTAATGGAAGCCTCCCTTCAGCATCTTCAACAGGCTCTGGAGCTCTGCCAGAGTGCTTGGAGGGGTCTTGGCAAGGCCGAGTCCATGAAGGCTGCACTTCTGTGCATTTCTCTGTGTGCAGAGAGGAAGAGGGGTTTCACAGACACCGGTATCCTTGTCTGCATGGGCATACATGCATGAACAGAAAACCATGAATTTTCCCTTCCTTATTTTGTTTCTTTTTCTCTCAACTGCTAAAGTAATGCATGTGAAAAGCAGTCACGAGCAGAGACCTGTGTGTAACAAGAAAGGGAAAGTGGAGTTTCAGCCTCTACTCCGACCAAGTGACGGCTCTGGGTCTGCACCCCCTGTCCCCGGGTGTGCATTGCTGTTTGTGATCCTGCTTGTACACCTGTGCGTGTATATGTGTCCATGCACAACCACGGAACTTTCCAGCACAAAGAGAACCAGACTGTCCCCAGCATCCTTCGTCCCCCGTTCACCAGGTGACTTCTGTGGCAGCACATGTAAATTCCCTCCTTTCTCCCTCAGGGATGCGACATGCTGGGTAATCTGCACAGGCTACAATTTGCTCAGCCCATTGAGCGTTTGGGGTGTTGCTGTCTCCCTTCAGTCTACAAAGCATTGTTTTTTCCGCTTGTGAAAGCTCCAGCGAAGGCGGAGGGCTCTCCAGCAACAAGCCTCAGCCCTACACTGCCCTCAGTCACCATCCTCCCTCCACCCCACCCCGCCCCTCGCGGCTCTCCCCTCTCGGCTCAGCCTCTCCTGCCCTCGTCCTTAATAGCATGTGACACTTGGCACAAGAGCCACCCAGCTGCAGAGGAGCTTCGTTCTATCCTTGATGCGTTTCTTTAAGTGCTCTTGTTAATGTTTCATGATGGATGGCGGAGAAACCTGGGAAACGCACCAGCCTGGATTCTGAAAGTCTGCGCTTGCACTAACTTAACATATTCATGTATTCAGTGTGACAGCAAAGAGAGAAGTGCGGGGAGTGCAGAGGCGAGCTTCAGATGGGAGAGGGGGAGAGGAGGGACAGGACTAGCCTCTGTCAAGCCTCTCCCACAAGGGCTAGGGATCTCACCATGCTCCGGAGCACCCGCCTGCCAGGCTGCTGTGAAGAACATCCCATCTTGTACATGAGAAAAGAGAGGTGAAGCGACTTACCTAAACACAGACAGACAGACAGACAGACAGACAGAGCTGAGATTTGAACCTGGTGGCAAAAACCTCACAATATTTCCTGTGTGCCGCGGCCTATCCTGAGCTTCTTGTGTGTGTGAATATACTTGTACTTGTTTGAGGGAGGTGACCACAACTATACCCACTTTACAGGCCAGGAAGAGAGGCTCAGAGCTTAAGTCACCCCTGTGGTGATGCAGCCCTTGCAGGCAGAGCTGGGAGCTGAGCCTGAGGAGGACTCCACCACCCCACCTCTTGCCTAGGGACAATTCAAGAGTGACTGAAGACCTGGGTCGGCGCTCTTGAGCTCCTCTGGGCCCCTGGTGGAGAAGGAAGAGAGCAGCTGCTCCTTGATGCATCTGCTGGAACTGGTGTGTTGAGGGACCTAGCTCGGGGTGGCTTTCCCTGCAGAGCCTGGGCAGTGTCGGCTAGACTTTCCACACTGTATTTATCTCACTCCACAGCTCCGGGCCAGGTGTCTCCCTAAATAGCAAACAGAAATGACAAAATGCAGAGCCCTGACAGAGGTTGTGGGGACATCCCCGCTTGGGGAGAACGAGGGCTGCAGGCGGTTTGGGGCCAGAGTCGGCGATGGAGATGAGATTCCCAGAGGCGCCCCAGGCTGGTTTGTGTTGGGAACTCTCAAACACAGCCTTTATCAGCAGAACAGCTAGCGAACCAAATGCGAAACCCGAGGTCGGTGGCTGGAGTGGCTGGGTGTGCTGCCGGAGCAAAAAGGAGGTCACTGTGGCAGTGTGCAGAGAGGAAGAGAGACCACAGACATGATTGTGGGGGAGCCTGGCCAGGGCAAACCAGGCCTGCAAGTGCAGGGCCTTCTATGAGTATGAGCTGATGTGCTAGTGTGATCCCTCTGGCTGCTGACGGGTGAATAAAGGGTGAGAGGGGAAGAGGAGGGACTTAGGGACAGGTCAGCCTGGGGCTGAGACACAAGCAGGGTGTACTGAGCAGGTAGGGCCATCAGTGTTGTGCTTTGACTGTGAGGCAGGACAGAAGGAAGGATCAGGCATACTGTCCAATTCCACCAACGCTCCTTGGGCGGATAGCAAATGGCAGAGGTGAAGGCCGTGGGGAAGAAAGGAGAGTTGAGCATTCTCTTGGCTGTGCTGCAGTTGCCAAGAAGGTCTAGAAGTACAGGTGGCACCGTGGAAGGGGAAGTTGGCTCGACAGATTCAGTGGGTCTGAGGTCCAAGTTGAGAGAGCAGCTGGAGCAGAGCAGAGCCCGGGCTCACTCTGGCCTTCTAATAGAGTGGAAAAGGCAGGCGAGCAGAATTAAGCCACCGGGTTGCTTCTCTACGAGTGTGCTCTCTGTGAGGGTGTGTGCTTTGTTTCTATGTATACACAGTAGGGCAACCAGAAGTCATTTCACCCACCTAGTTCACAAAAATCAAGCAAACCAGCCATCCCCAGTGCTCCGGAGAGGGTGTGTGGATGCGTGTTACAGATCTGAGTTCAACTCAGGTTTCCACGCCCATATAGTCCCCTGCTTTTGCCACTCTGGCTGGTTGTTACTAAGGTTGTATCTACCTGGAAACACGCCTCTGTGTGCCCTGTGTCTCATCACCTACTGTCCTCCAACTGCCACTTCTTTGGGCTCTCTGGAAGCATTCCATCCCTGAATCCGAATAGAGCGAGGACCACCTCCATCAGGGAAGTCAGTGACAGCAGCCGGTGCAGGCCAGCTGGACAGGGCCTCAAGAACGACCCTACTAACATCCCTCACCTCCCAGGGAAATATAGCTGCGTTTAAGCACACTCAGCCACCCAAACAGCTGTAAAATGACCATTATTGTCTCAATTTGATAGAGGAGGAAAATTAGTTTTCAGAGAGTTATTTGTTTAAAGTGCACAAAGCTGGGGAACAGAAGTCAGAATGTTGAAGGGTCTCTCCCTGAACAAACATCTAACCATTGGCCATATTCCCATACCATACAAAGCCATACCACCTGGCCAAGCTGGTGAGCCCTCTGACCACAGACGTCGGACTCTTGGAACCTCACACACCCACACCCACACTGCAGATAAGGTTGTTTTGTATTGAGCCAGTGGCTGCCATGTGCTGGACCAGGCTCTGTCCAGCAGCCGTGTGCATCTTTTCCCAGTTCTGCAGTCAGGCTCTTCCTTGGGGCTCACTCTGTCATGGAAATCTATAGAGAGGTAATGTATCAGTCACCAGTGATCAGATCTGAACTGACGTTAGAATCAAGGGTGTCCATCTGGAATGCGAGGAAGGTGGTAGATCTGGGAACGAGGAGCTCTTCTTGTGCTGAGGAAACAGAAAGCCCTCGAGCTGGGTTTCTAGCTCAGCTATACGCTGCCCTCCTAACTCTAGGCTTTAGAGAATTAAATGGACATGCCTAGTACAGTGGGGGAAGATGGATAATGAGGAATGAAACTAAAGAAATATGTGCCAGGCATGGTGGCACAGGCCTTTAATCCTAGCACTTGGGAGGCAGAGACAGGCAGATCTCCCTGAGTTTCAGGCAAGGCCAACCTAGTCTACATGGTGAGCTTCAAGCCATGCATGATTACATAGTGAGTTTCCCTCTCTCTCTCTCTCTCTCTCTCTCTCTCTCTCTCTCTCTCTCTCTCTCTCTCTGTCTCTCTCTCTCTCTCTCTGTGTGTGTGTGTGTGTGTGTGTGTGTGTTTGTGTGTGTGTTTGTGTGTGTGTGTGCATGTGTATGTGTGCGTATGTGTGGCCACACACACTTTCAAACTGTGATGCTATGGAAGATACAAGAGCATCAAACAGCATGATGGGTCAGAGAAGGTGCCTGTGAAGAGCAGACCTGGGTTGTTTTGCTTTTGAGACAGGGTCTTATTGTGTAGCCTAAAATAGTGTACAACCTAAGCTGGTCTTCAACTCAAGATCCTCCTGCCTCAGGCTCCTGAGCACTGGGATTAGAGATGCATGCCACTCCACCCAGCTTCAGAGTTGCATCGGTAAACTAGAGTTCTCAAGGAGCCAGTTCCTCTCTGATGGAATAATGTGTACAGAGACCAAGTGCTGGCAAGGAAGTGGGCAGCTGCTAGGAGCCGGAGCAGGCAAAGTGTGCAGCAGTCAAGGGAGAAACAGAGAAGGGGCCGGGGTCAGATGACGTGGTGCCTTGCTGGCCGCAAGGTGGGAATCACGGCAGTGGGCAAGCCCTGGGAGTCCATAGGGTGGTGGGTGGCTGTGTGCTGTGACATCTGAGAGTAAAAGGTGGTTGTGACTTGTGGAGGGAAAGTGGGCTGGGAGGAGAGTGGTGAGGGCAGAAGCATGGGCAGGTCAGGAGCTCACATAAGAATGAGAGCTGATAGTAACCTGGGCTGTGCCGAGGCCCGGTGGAGATGGATGGAGGACATAGAAATGCCAGAGCAAGCTGGTGAGTCAGTAGGGGCTTCAAGGGAGACGGGGTGGTGGCGCTAAGGATGAACTAGTTGTTAGCCAGGATCTGAGATGCTGAAGACAAGAAAGAGGCCCAAACTATATTCCCTTAGTTCAAACTCGGACCCTCTATTTACTACCATTTTGGCCCTAGGCAAGTGACTCAGTCCTTGAGGGCCTCAGAGTCCCCATCAGTAAAATGGAGATCACAACACATTCATAGGGTTGTCTGTGGGGTTTTTACAAGGGACTCTGTGTAAAATGTTTAGACTCACACCTGAGTATAGTAGATGCTACACAGAGGAAGCGTGTGCTCTTAATAGGAGTCTATTGGTAGGTTTCCACCCCGCCATTAAGAGATAAAGACTTTCCAGGCCCGTGGCCCTTGTTTGGAAAGAAAATGTTGTGCAGAGCAGGACCCTGGGGAGGATCCTTCTTTCAAAGTGTTTGCATTCCCTTCCCCAGCGTGAACTTGGCAGGCGAAGCTGTTCAAAGTAAACACAGGTTCCGAGCTCCAGCAAATACCAGGTTAGGCAGCACGGAGGCGGCCACACCAGCCCCAGGGCCAGCCGAGGAAATGGGCTGGCTATGCTGACCTCACCAGGCTCATGACTGCTGGCCTTCCCCGGAGGCAGGGCCTGGGCACCTGCGCTGTCTGGTCTTTTTACTGGAATGGCTAGCGATGAGTCACCGCTATCCCTCACTGCATCCTAGCCTGGGCTTGGTGAATCACAGACTCCCAAACTTAACACCAGGTGGCAACAAGAGGTGGGGTCCAGGAGGAAGCAAGTTGGCATAGAGGGACAGGAGCACCCCAGGGTCACAATGTCATGTGAGAATGGAGGTCTACAGAGCACTGGGAGCAGGATAGCGGGTGGAGGGGAGGTGGTAGGCGTGAGAGGAAGGAAGGAGGGAAAGCTGCAGATCTTAACAGAAGTCAACTCTGATTCAGGATCTTCCAGCTTCTGCTTCAACTCAGTGTCCCTTGTCTTCTGACTCCATGACCCACCAACCTAGAAACTGACACAAAATGAGTTAGAAAGGTAACAGACTAACCTGCTTTCAACTATAAACTTAAAGTGTTTGTTTTTGTTACTTTTCTCATGCCTGCTACAAAACTCCTGACAAGAAGCAATTTAAGGAAGGCCTGGTTTATTCTGGCTTATGGTTTGAGAAGACACATTCTACCATGGTGAGGAAGGCATGGAGGCAGGAGTGGGAGGCTGCCTGGTCTACATGTGCAGTCAGGAAGCAGAGAGCCATGAATGCTGGTACTCAACTCCCTTTGTGTTCAGTCCTGAACCACCCAGGCCAAAGAATAGTCCCACCCACATTTAGCATGGATCTTCCCATCTCTCCTAATCTAGATAGTTACTCACAGACACGCCCAGAAACTTGTCTCCCAGGTGACTCTAGATCCTGTCAGGTTGGCAGTCATTATTAACCATCACAATCTTCGATACAATTGCTGAGCTACCCGCAGGTGTTACTCTGTAAGACTCTACTGTGAGCATGAGAGTGGCCAATAGTATGTGGGGAGTTGTCCTTCTAACTAGAGGAGCAGAGGTAATAGGAGGGGTGTCTGAAATATTTTTTGTGTGGCGTGCCATGGGGCACATGTGGAGGTCAGAGAACAACTCCAGGAGCAGATTCTCTCCTTCCACCGTGTGGGTTTCAGGCACTAACCTTGGTCGTACTTGTTGGCCTGTGTATGTGTTCTTAACATTAGAGAAAGATGTAATTTTTGTACAGTGCCAGTCTTAATTGTGGTAAAATATATACAACATGACATTTACCATCTTATCACTTGGGGGCTTACTGCTCAGTGGTGTTAGTTACATTCACTTCATTGTATATTATCACCAACTGTTCATGTCTAGAATGCCCTCAGAGCTGAGACTCTGTTCCCACTAAAGATTTTGCCGGATCCCCGACCCCCAGCCTCCGACAACGCACTTCTATGCCATATCTCTAACTTTAACTACTTTAGATGTCCATAGGGAATCATGCATGCTATCTCCCTTCCTGTCAGGTTTATTGTGTTTTTGGGCCCATTCGTATTGTGGCACATGTCAGAATCCTCTTCTATGGGCGCACAATGTTTTGCTCATTTACTCAGCCAGCAATGGGCAGCTGCTTTGCCTCTGTTTTTATTATTATTGTTATCATTATTATTAGTATTGCAATGCCTCTTTTAGACTAGGTTTGAAAAAGATGATTCAAAGTAAGAAAATTCCATGACAATAAAGACATGGCTGTCTTTCCTTTATCCTGTGTTTTCACGTATCACAGGGCTTTTGCAAATAAGATTTAAAGGGAAAATAGAAGTTGGGAGACCAAGAAGACTACCTAGATTGAAGACTACCTATCTCCCAACTAACTGTGTGCTTTAGGAGAAGATCCCCCAGTGTTCCAGTTTTCAGAATCCTTAACATGTTGAGAAGTGAGGCTAAGTGTGGACAATGGTTTGTAAGAGAACATAGCAGAAGAAATATCTATGGAATGCCCTGAACCCCTTCCCCTTTCCTTCACTGTCCTGGAATTCACTATGACACCCAGGTTGGCCCTGTGGTGATCATTCTGTCTCAGCTTCCCAGGAGCTGGCGTTATGGTGTGAACCACTGTAACTTACTTCTGCGCTTACTTCTTATCCTTCTCTGTCAGGTAAGCAGGATGCTCCTTTTTTCCCCCTTCTTTATTCAAAGCAATTCCAGTCTCCCAGCCCTTTTCACTCTACTTCCTCTTCCTTCTTGGATACCATCAAACTGCTCAGCAGAACAGAAAACCCGCCCATACAGGAACATTTGCACACTTTGGATGTGAGGCATGCAGACTCACCTTCTAATGCACATTCTGTGATATAGGGTGGGGATGACAGCTATGTGGCATGTGGCTGCCACTCCCCACTCCCAAACCCCAAGGCAGACATCACTAATTAATGGCCACACTCCTTCCTGTTGGAGCAGACTGGCCCAGAGTGAATAGTGCAGAGCACCATGAAGCCATTCGCTGACCGCCTGGTCTCTCGTAGGAAATGCTACCTGCACTCTTCTTTCCCACAAGGTTCTCTTAACTTTACATATAGGAAGCCCACCCACCCTTGAAGGTAGGAGGCAAACCCAATCTCAATCATTGGAGGAGACCAGAACTTGGTAAGGAACCTGAGGCTAGAATCAAGTCCTTTCTCTGGCCCTCCACTGCTTTTAAACTAGGCTTTTGGGTCAGGGGGTTCTTTCCCCCGAGTGAGAAGAAAGTGAGCCTCCTGACATGGATACAGTTCCATAGGTGGGCATGGAGGAACCATCGGGGACCCCAAACTGAAAACCTACCAGTTTCATGGGTCTGCCTGTTTTGCCCTGCTGTCTGGGAGCTGTCAGTCATCATGGTTCCTATTTTGACTTGGGTATGACTGGAGCATTGCACATTCATGGAGAGGTCACAACTTAACTCAGAGCCATTTATGGGAAAGACACTTTCTAAGCCAAAACAATGACAACAGACTTGGCCAGAGGAGTATGTATCCCGGAACAACAGGTTTCCCTAGCTCTGCTGAGTCGCTCTGCCATCCTTAATGCCTCCAGCAAGACCCAAAAGGAGCAGACGACAGGGTTCCGACTTGCCACAGAAAACAGACATCAGGTGCCACCCACTTCTTGGGCCTTATCCTACCTGTGTCTGGACCATTTGCCACATCCTAAGGGCTTGAGGTAGCCAGAAGGCCTACTGTGGAACATCGTGTCTGCTTGCCAGAAAGGGTGTGTGTGTGTGTGCGAATAAACCTATATAAAGTGCTTAATATGTGCTTATAATTTGTAGCCACCCTCACATTCCATCTTCAGAACAGCTGTGTTAGAGAACCACCACCACCCCAAGAAAAACCTAGAACTCGGAGAAATCAAGGAGCTTCTTAAATCACCCAGCTGGTAGGTAGGTAGGTAATCATCCAGAACTAGGATGCAGACCTAGAAACTGCGGTACTAGGGATTCTGGGAGCCTATCACTTGACTGCATTTCCTGTGGGAGTTGCTCATGGAGGGTTAGCCCTGGGCCTGCAAGGCTGAGCAAAGTCTGTGGAGAGTAGGCCAGGTTAAAAGAGCCAGCCCAATCAGTTCAACCCGAGCACACAGAAGCAGGTCACATACATTCAGGGGACAACAGCTCTGGCCCTATGCTTCTCTGGTACCCTCCCCTTCCCCAGCACCCTGTTTCCAGCATTCAGCCTGGGTCTGGGAGCTGATCCTGTTTCCCAGGCAGCCGCGCTGAGAAGCAGATGGTGCTGAGGGGGTGGGCGCCTGACATCCCTACTCAAGCTTCCCTACAGCTCTGCTCCTCCTCTCCCCCCTCCCCACCCTTTAAGAAGCTCAACCCAGGAAAAACCTGTGGCTCTCCTGCAGAGTGTGGGTATTGGTCTTCAGCTGAAGGGTGTAGCTGGCATTCAGTGCCATGCTTGGGAAATCCCTGAGGGTTTAAGCTACTCACCACTGTCATTGGCCCCTTGATTTCTGGCTCATAAGGTGAAGATTCAAGGACCAGCACATCTGAACTTCCCCCATCCTTAACGAGACTGGTCATCATCTCTTTGAAGAGCAGAAATATCTGATTGGATCAATTTAATAAGGAAATGTTTGGCTAACTATTCTTATTCCTTTTTTTTTAACAAATAACTCTTTAAATCAAACTCTCAGACAAGAGTAAGGTGCTTATGATCTGTTACAAGCATAATTGACGACGATCTCATTCCAGGGTTAGGAATCACAGCACTTCAAAGAAGGAAGTGGTCTCTGGCATTCTCCTCACCCCCATCTTGAGACCCTTCATCCCAGGCCATGCCCTCTCCACACTGTAAGGTTCAAATCCCACACACGCTTGAGTGAGGTATGATACCCTTCAAATAAAGTCAAACTGAGCTTCCCAGAGGTTAAGTAGCTGTGCAGATTCAGCTGGCACAGTAGCAGTTCCCTCTGACCTTAAAATCACACCCTCCACCCTCCCCTCACTCTGTGCTCAACTTCTAATGCTTCATACAGCACACAGCATGGAGGCCAACACACATCCATCAATACCGAGCACAGTGGAGCGAGGTCACATTGAGCATTTGCTAAAGACAGCTGTGTTTTCAGGGCCCATCATGGTCCCTTCCTGTTAGGAGGTTCTGTGTAGTGCCTCCCCCAGTAACCTGGGTGTGCAGTGGAGATCAGCCTTTGCTTTCCTGCCATCATCCAGGGAGACCTGAGGTGATGGCCTCCAGGATAGGTGGAGCTGAGTAGACTCCTCTCAGATTATACAGTGCAAGGTGTCATAACAGACTATGGGGTGTTGGTGGCTGAGGTCGAGATAATGCCCTTCCACCCTGCCTGTTTGTTTTGTTTTTTAATCTAGATGATACCGAGAAATGTTATGCATGCTAGCTAGGCTATTCCTGCTCACCTATCTCCCCTTCCCCCCACCTACACCTTCATCTAGCTTATTGAGCCCCCACCTGACCTTTCCCGGTGGCCAGATGAACAGCTTTTAAAATGCTGATGCTCAGGTCTCACTCCGGCACAATCAGAATTTGGTGGGGTGAGGCCAACGCTGATATTTTTATATCATGCTCCAGGTTATTTTTACATATAACCAGTGGGAAAAGCTGCTGATTCTAGTGAATTCAGAAGCCGTTCCCAGCCTCCCTTCCTCCCACCACAGCTCCCCACCCCCATATGATGACACCCAGTCCCTCTCAGCTTGTTGGCATTGTCGCTAACTCTCATGAAAATGCCAGTCCTCTGGGCAGAGTGGTGAGGTCCATCTTGCCACAGCCAGGTGCTCAGAGCTAGGCCTTTCTGGAGGGGCCCTGTTCCTGCCCACTGACCAACATTGCAAGACCAAGCTGGTGGGAAAGACAGGTGCCATCCGCTCAGGGCCAGAGCTCGTGCTGAGCTCTCTGCACTCCCCACAGAAAGCTAAGCAGATGTACTCCATGCCCTTGAGATACTTGAGTCAGGCTGGAAAGAGAGACAGTGAGCAGAGTCGCTTTATAACATCTGACCATACGCACATGTGGCTGCTAGCACTGTCTTCAGGCCTGAGGATACTAACAAGAATGGCCTTCTGTGGGTACCAGGAGGCGGAGAAAGGGCAGATGAGGAGGATTATAGAGTTCAGGGACCGGAAGGGCTGGATCCATCCTGGATCCCCTCTGCCCAGCACAGTGCCTAGAACACAATGGGTGCTTATTGGAAACTTGTTAGGAAATGGATGGATGATAAACTAGCAAGCCAATGCTCAACCTCTAGAGAACAGGAAAACTGACTGGGCAAGTATCCATGTACCTGCGGCTAGCAGCATGTACACATTTGAGATTTCTTTGCCATGCTATTAGCTCAAAGCCTGAGCTGGTGAGCAGTGGTCCATGATGAGAAACAGTTCAGAAGCCAACAGAAATTTCAATAGAAGTCCTTTTTTGAACTTTTTTCAGTCAGATCTCTCACCGTCTGCCCTTGTAGCTTTCCAGTTCCCCTGGAGTGAGGCTTAGCCAGGTCAGGAGCTCCCAAGCCTGTGGTCCCAGCATCCCCTCTTCTCCTACCAGGTCAAGGGGACAGCATTGGCAAAACAGCTCCCTCCTAGGAGGGGGAAGACAGACATTGAGGGGTGGCAGCAAAATCAAAGATTTTAGAATATAAAGAGGAATATTTTTTGTGTCATAACATAAAATCAGTGTACTTCTTATGAAACATTTTCGTCAGTGGCCTTGGAAAGCAAGCTTGGGATCTACAGAGGTGACTTGAGCGATGTTTATCGCTCAGTTGTTATCTTGCATTGTCTCCATCCAGGGTGGGGCCCCTCTTCCCATCCATCCTCATTCAGGCCCTTGACTCATCCCTGTTTTGAAGCCGAAGAGGGACATGGAGCCGCTTTGTCCCAATGACCAAGCTTGGCTACTCAGCATCTTGGCTCTTTCCTGTCAGCTCATTTGCTCATGCAGCCGAAGGTGAGCCTGTTAGCCCCCCACTCTCTCATGGGGTCTGAAAAAGGCCGCTGTGGGGGCAGACTGCACGCCACTGACAGTACTTGGTTGTTGAATCCTACCGGAGTCATTCCCTCTATGTGACATGCCTGCTGGGGACCACTAGGAAGTTGTCCTGGACTTCAATCTTTTACCCGTCCTCTTGGGATGCTAGTAAAGTGAAGGACTAGCAGACAGATGATGGACAAGTGACTGCCACATCTGTCACTCAGAGACGTGGAAGACGCTAGTGGTCCATCAGCTACAAAAAGAAAAGGTGCCGCCAGCTCCCTAAGCTAGCCTGTGCTTTTCCTTCTTAGCAAAGGGAATTACTGAGCGAAGACCATTTCACTGTACAAGATGGCCTCTGCTGGCCACCCCTCACCAGCTGTAGGCTGCTGCACATCTGCACTTAGGGCCCTCCCTCAGTCTCCACTCCATTTCATTAATTCTTCCCTATTCCTGAGGCCCCTGTATTCCTTGTTCTTTCTGCCCTTCACCCATTCATTTCTACTGGCTCCACTACAGGCCAGCTGCACGGCCTCAGGCAAGTCACCCCTTCAGGTCTCAGTCCTAACGTTAGCAGTGGGCAGGTGACAAGAGCCCGTTCTCACAGAGTCTGGGGTGGTTCTGTGAGCTGGTGCATGTGGGAGAAAGCAGACTCCATGGAGTGCTGACTACATATCCCCTGAGTCCAGGCATGGGTGTCTGTACCTTCCTTTGAGGCACCCGTACAGGGAGCAGCACAGAGAGGGGACAGTGCCTACTCTCCTGTCGCATGTCAGGGAGAAATGGCGGCAGCGCTGCAGCTCCCCACCTGCGGCAGCCCGCATCCTGTCCCCAAGAACATATGGAGCTCCTTGGAGGCCAGGCCAGAAGGCACTGCTGACCCAGCATCTCTGACTCACTGGGCAGGTGAGGGAGGGAGGAGGCGGGTGCTAATTACCTGGTTCTCAGCAACCACCGGGAAGGCTCAACCTGTAAAGCTGAAGCTCGGCCACGGAGGAAGCAGGCGTGGCCAGCGAGGTGAGGCCATGGCTTGTGGGCACCACGGAGCCCACAGGAAACTGTTAATAAAGATATAACCAGGGAGCACTTTGTGTGGATAAATAATGACACCCTGCCTCCCAGCAGCCTAAGCATTTTCCAGCTACGCTGTGCTTCCACCACCTCTTTTGAATGCTAGCATAGCTCATGGAGAAGACTCGGGGTGCTCTCCAGCTCCTTTCTCCCAGAGCAGTGCACCCTGAGAGGCCAGACCTCCTCCAAGACCCCCTTTCCTGAAGATCTATCCTCTGCCAAGATGCTTGGGCCTCTGGGTACTCATTTACTTATTTATTTGTTTGTTTGTTTGTTTGTTTGTTTGTTTGTTTGTTTATTTATTTATTTATTTATTATTTTTCAAGACGGCTTCTCTGTGTAGCCTTGGCTGTCCTAGAACTCACTCTATAGACTAGGCTGGCTTCGAATTCACAGAGATCTGCCTGCCTCTGCCTCCCAAGTGCTGGTATTAAAGGCATGTGCCACCATGGCCCAGCTCTGGGTACTCTAAGGATGGTCATTCAGATGCTTCTCCTGCTATGTGGGTACTCCAAAAGGTGGGATGGGGTTTGGGCCGAGATTCTTTCAAGGCTGTGTTGGAGCCAGTCCTTCAAGAGGGCTCTGGTCATTTGTGCTGTTGACGGGTCTCTCTGATCTGCATCTTGGAGCTTCATCTGTTTTGAATTTTCTCTTGCTCATGTCACACCAATGATTGGTAGATGCTTTCCAAATCCTTACACCTGGTGGTCCTGGCACATTGGCATATGCATCCTTCTGTCTTACATGGTGTGACTTCGCAGAGTGACATCTTCTTACAATGCCCCTCATCTCATTCAGTTTTCATGTCCTGCCCCTCTGCTGGGGTCACCTCTCTGTGGTGTGGCTTTGGAAAGGTTGCTTGCCCTTGGAAATAGGCTCCTACCACAAACTCCCCAAAGTCCCCACTTCCTGGCCCCAGCCTAGTGTCGGAGCTCAAGTCAGTGCTTAAGAAATATTTGGGATTTGTGTCATTTCATCTCTGTGTTTTTATTCTCATAAAGCCACAGGGAAGGCCTCCGTCTGTACACAGCCCTGCTGTAGTCTGGGCCCTATGTGTCCTCCGAAGGTCTAAGTGTTAATGGACGGTGCTGTTGGGAGGTGGAGATGCCTTTAAGAGCTGAGGCCTAGAGAGAGGTCCCTGGGTCATGGGGGCATGCCCTTGAAGGCAGCTCTGGGATCCCAGCCCTCTCTCCTCCTTTGATTGTGCTCCCTGGCTACAAAGTAAGTGATCTCTCCCTCCATGATATGCTGACTTGCCACAGGCCCCAAACCAGGGCTGCGACTCCAGAGACTCTGAGCCCACATCAGTGTTTCCTCTTGCTGGCTAGTGACCCTGGCGGCTTGTTTGGATGAACAGTTGGCCAGCACAGCCTCCAGCAGCCAGCCAGGTCTACCTGGGGATCTGTGATGGTCCAGGTGGTGCAGTCGGCACATTTGCCTTAACTTTCGTTCTAAGTCTGGCTCTGCTGCCTCCGGGCTTGGTGGAGCATATTATTCCACTTCCCCGGGTGTTAATTTTCCTCCTAAAGAAGCTGTAATGACAGGACCTGCCTCACTGGAGTGTTTTCAGGATCCATGGACACTCGTCTACTGACCCCCAGATGGGGATCAGTGAGGTTCTTCTCCATCTTAGTACAGACCATGGAGGGTAGGAGAGCTATGCTGAGGGGAGTTGGCGTAGACTCGGGGGCAGAAGGAGATCATGGGTAGGGGCTTAGTAGGAAGTAGCTTAGAGCTACTTCCCATGTCAATCAGCTAGGACTCAGAATGGACTGGGGACATGTAGTGCCCACTGTCCAGGAACAAAGGGAGTCTAGGGCCAGGGGACCATGAAGCTCCAGGTTGGAAACATGTGGTATCTCTAAACCCAAAGAATGCAAATCTCAGGCAGAGGAACCAATTCTTCTCATGGTGCAGAATACTGGTTTTTGTTTCTGTATTTGCTCCTAGACTTTCCTCAAAAAGAATATGACATGGGTTACAATGAATCTCATGCATGCAACATGCTTAATACGTGGAAAGGGAAGGCAGACAGAACTGTAGACAAGACTGGATGAAACAGTGAGTGTAGCCGGTGGTGGTGACACACACCTTTAACCCCAGCTCTCAGAAAGCAGAGCCAGGCAGATCTCTGAGTTCAAGGCCAGCCTGGTCTACAGAGCTGGTTCAAGAAGAGCCATGAATGCAGAGAGAAGCCATGTTTCAAAAAAAACAAAAACAAAAATGAAACAAACCAACAGTGGGTGTGGCTCTGCTCCCTTGAGTGGCAGGGGCTACGGAGGGAAAGAGAAAACATCACCATCACAGAGGGAGTTTCCCAGCAGGCACTCTGTGGTACATTACAGTCTCTGTTCCACACTGTGGAATTCCACCTTATAGCTAGAGCTGCACATGCCTGCTTACTGAGCACCTACTTGTGGCAGGCACGGTGCTGGGTGCCTTACACTCAGAGTTCAAATGTTTCTGTCCCTC